GGAGGTTCAAACCCACCAGCCACTCCTCCTCGGAAGGAAGACTGGTCAATCCACTATCTGTAGAGATACCATCTTGGAAACCCAAGGAGGGGTTGCTGTGAGTCAGAATCGACTCAACAGCAGTGAGTTTGGTTTTTTATTTTACAGAAATGTGGATGTAGATCTTTTATATATTTATTCATAGTAGGCCTAGTAGTGGAGGTTTAAGGCCTTTGAGAGCAAATGAGTTTCTCTGGGAGAAGAAAGATGAATCTTGGTTCCTCATATTTAGTGGGTGGGAAAGGAAAGAGCTGTCAGAGACAGACGCCAAGAAATTAAAAGAGGAGGCTGAAGAAAGCAGTCAAGAGTAAGAGCCAGGATCTGAAGGAAAGGCCAGAGCCAGCCCTCTCATTTGTTATGAGTTCTTGAGCAAGTTACTCTACTTCTCTGAGCCCGGTTCCCCATCTAGGAAATTGCAGCAATAATGGTAACCACCATGCAGGGTAGAAGAAGCCCTGGTGGCGCAAGTGGTTAAGTGCTTATCTGCTAACCAAAAGGTCAGTGGTTCGAACCCACCAGCCACTCCATGGGAGAAGATGTGACAGTCTGCCTTCATAAAGATTTCCAGCTTTGGAAACCCTACGGAGGAGTTCTACTCTTATAGGGTCACTATGAGTTGGAATTGACTTGATGTGATGGGTTTTTGGATGCAGAGTAGATGGGAGAGTTATGTCTGTCAACCACTTGGCACAAGGCCCAGCACTTAATGGGCTCGCAGTAAGTGTTAGTTATCGTCATCATTAGAGTCCCTGAGTTGTGCAAAGAAAGGCCTGGTGATCTACTTCCCCAAAATCAGCCACGGCCAACCCTGTGGAGCACGGTTCTACTCTGACACACATGGGGTCACCATGAGTCAGAGTCGACTCAAAGGCAACTAGTGGCCATTGTCACCCTCATAAGAAAGGGGTTGTCAGTGTTGCCGGGGCAGGGCCCGATCCTGACTGGGACATGCCTCCACATCTGTAGTTCAGAAAGTCAGTGAGGATTGTCAGGAGGTCAGTTCTAGTCCAGTGTTGGAGAACTTTGGGCAGGAAGTGGGTGAATCTGGGAGCTGCTCCAGAGGCAGCAGGGAGAGGAGGTATTTCCTCTCAAGGCTCACTTCCCCAAAAGGACAAAAGGAAGAAGAGTCTTGCTCTTGGGCAGCCATCCCTTCCTTTTTCCAGTTTTGTATCGGGTCACATTCTTGCTCAGGTAGCAATTTCCTTTTCCTTTCCTGCCCAACCCTTCATGTCTCCTCTTACCCAAGAATGATCAAGAAAATCCTTGCAGAGTTGCTGAAGAGACTTTGGGGTAGCAGAGGGGCACTTTAGACAGCCCCTTTCCCTGATGTCCCTCACCCCCACCCCCTCAGCCCACCTCCCTACTTCTCAGGGTAGGACAAGGGGCAAAGTTCGGGTAACAGGGAAGAGTAAAAATGCTGTCATTGAATGTTTCTCAGAGATATTCACACCTTCCTTCTAGTTCTTTTCTTCCACACATCATCCCCATCCTGGACATCCCAGACACAAAACTGAATTTGGGTCATGTGGGGCAAAAGGGCATGGCTCCCCAGCAGGGCAAGCAGGCTGCCCCAGCCCCAGCCCTGGCCCCAAGCACATCCCTTTCCACACCTCCCAAGTGGGCCTTCCTTTGCGATTGTTCCTCCCCACACTCCACACTGAGGTGGGAGATAAGGCCTGAGGTGGGGAGTTGGGCATGGGGTCTGGTTAAGGTGTGCTGGTAGCCCCCAGGTGGCCCCATTCCTGCTATGGTCATCAGACCAAGTTTTATGAGACTGCTAAGGAGCTTTGTACTGCTTTTTCACTCATGGGAACCAAGTGAACAGACCAAACTCAAAGCCATACTCACTGCCATCAAGTCAATTCCAACTCATAGCAACCTCCTTTGGGTTTCCGAGGTAGTAAATCTTTACAGAAGTAGATTGCCCAGTCTTCCTTCTGCAGAGTGGCTGGTGGGTTTGAACCACTAACCTTCTGATTAGCAGTCAAATGCCTTAGGCACTATACCACCAGAGCTCCTTAAGTGATCAGAGAGGTGGTAAAGGAACTATAAAGGAGCTCTGGTAGTCTAGTCCCTAAGGCATTTGACTGCTACCCAGAAGGCTTGCTATTCAAACCCACCAACCACTCCCGGGAAGGAAGACTGGGCAATCTACTTGCGTAGCAATACTGCCTCGAAAACCCAAGGAGAGGCCAGAATTAACTCGACGGCAGTGAGTTTGGTTTTGGTATTTCCACCATATCTCTTGGTCTGACCAAGTTGCCCCCAGTGTTTCTGGAAGGCTTTGGAAAGGCCTACATACTTTAATGCGAAACATTAAAAATATTTAACAACCCTTGTGTCATGGACATCAACCAATCAGAATGGAGCATTACAGCAGGGTCCTGAAGGCCCGTTGCTATGTCACTGTTAGTTGCTGGACTATGAGGTAGGGAGGGTAAGTCCTGGGGAAGGGAGGTGGGAGTATCAGGCAGCAACTGGTGTGGAATTATTTCGATATTTTAACCATGATATGATCATATCAGAGGAGCTCTGGTGGCATAGTGCCTAAAGCATTTGACTGCTAACCAGAAGCTGGCGGTTCAAACCCACCAGCCACTCCTCAGAAGGAAGGTTGGGCAATCTACTTCCGTAGAGATACTACCTCAGAAACCCAAGGAGTGGTCGCTGTGAATCAGATTGGACTCAACAGGCAGTGAGGTTTGTTTTTTTTTTTTCCCTCTGATGGCCATATGGATGGCCATACCAGAATGTACTGATAGCAGCACTGCTCACAAGCCGCACCCTAATAACAACCACTACTCCCTGTCCCTTTGCCAAGCTGTCAACTTGTCTTCCTGTTCTGCTGCCTTCCCTCCTCCTCCCCAGTAATGCTGCCCTTTAGTAGCTCTTTGCCCTTCAAGGCTGCAACTTGAAAAGCAGTGCAGCCCAGTCCCAGCTCTGCTTCTCCCCAGCTATGTGACCTTGAGCAAGTCACTCCCTTTCTCTAAGTCTAGTGTTTCATCTGTAAAATGGGCTACTATCCATGCAGGGTGGAAACCCCTGCAGGGTGATGGTGTGTCCCAGATGACCACATGCACACAAAGGTACTTTGTAATCTGCTACTCAGATGTCACTATTTTATTCTGATGGCACCTGGATGAAAATGCTGAGGGAGGAAAACAGAAAATATAACATGCCTTCTCCTCATGCCTCTAGGGACGGCCCTGCTTTCATCCCTTGGTAGGACAGCAGTGTCCTCAGCCCAGGCAAAGCTTACCCCTGCCCACTCTCTGTCCTCCAACTCCTCTGACTTTAGGGCAGAGCCCTGGTGGAAGGAGAAAGATGCTCTTGAAGGAGCCACCTGATGGCCCAGCACCAGAGCATTTATGCCATCACCACTACCAATCAGGGTAGGCTTCCTGAAGGAGGAGGCAGACCTGACAGACGGGCTTGCCAAGAAGACATGAAAAGTGGAAAGAACTGTGCAGGTAGGAAAAGGGACATTCTGTTTACCGACACCACCCCAGCCCCAGCTCTACAGTTCCATGGACATCTGAAGCACAAATCCTGGCTCCATCCTCTTTCTAACTGTGAGATATTGGGCAAGTTACTCTACCTTTGAGTCTCTAGTTCTCGGAAGTAAAGTAGGATTTTAAAAATCGGCTTCAGGAAACACTGTTAGATAGGTAGAGACAAGTATTGATTTGGGTGAAGAGAAGGGCAATGTACCAAATGTGAGTGATCACCACGGTGGCATTGAAGGGGAAGACAGAGAGAGGTGCATGGGAGGTACAGACAACAAAGATGAACACTTTCACACATACAGTACTGCGTTGTCAGTGAAGGCAAACATGGGTGGATAGATGAGTAGACAGGCTGAATTATTAGGTATGTCTATGAAGAGGGGGGAGTGTGCCAATGACCATATATAGGATTGGCAGACAATGTTTCTACAAGTGTATTTGTATGTTCTGTAAGAATTCCCAGGTATATAGTAGAGCTGACAAGGGACAAGGTTGTAGTCACTTCTTGGCCACAGCCAGCTACCTAGAGAGAGTGAGTAGTTGACCTGTGGGCTTGGGACCACACTTGCAGGGGACATCAAGCTCAACTGGCATAACATACTACACAAACACATTGTTCCACATCCTGCTTTGGTGAGTAGCGACTGGGATCTTTAAAGCTTGCAAGCAGCCATTTAGATTCAACGATGGCCCTCTTCTCGTGCAGAGCAAAGAAGAATGAAGAAAACCAAATATTCATGGAAACAATTAGTCCAAGGGGCTGGTACACCATGCGATCCTCAGCCTATGACTATGAGACCAGAATAACTAGATGGTTCCTGGCTACCACTGTCAACTACTCGGAGGGGGAATCTATGTAGGAAATCCTGGATAGAGTAGGAGAATAATGTGGAACAAAACTCAAAATCATTTTAAAAAAAAAAAGGACCAGATTTGTTCGTCTGATACAGTCTGCTAGAACCCTAGACTATGGCCCCTAGCTGCCCTTCAAGTCTGGAATTGAACCCACTCCTGTGACTTCCAGCCAAACAAAAGACAGGCATATGAGCTGAACATTTACATTAGGTAGATACACTCTTTAGAGACATCAATCATGGGAGAATAGAAGGGCTGTGTATACGCAGGGAGACAGCTCAGGGGGCAGGGGCGCATGAGAGGGAAGGACATAGGGAAGAGGTAACTATGGGGAGGAAGTGAGAGGGGAGATGTTGCATTGTGGGAAATTGCAGTCAATGTCATGAGACAAAGTATGTGAGCTGCTGTACGGAGAGTGAATTTGCTCTGTAAACTTTCACCCAGATCACAATAAAAATTTTTTTTTAAATCTGCTTCATAAGGTTGTTATGAAGATTAATAAGATGATATGTAAATGATAAAACAGTTTGCACGATGCCTGGTGTATAGCAAGAACTCAATATTCGATAGCTTTTAATAATGAAAGTATCTCCACTCCAGACCACCCTGCAGAAACTGAAGGCAGAAGAGTACGTTCAGCAGAAGAGGGAGCTTCTGGCCCTCTATCGGGACCAGGACCGGGAGTCTGTAGACACTAGGCCCTCCACTCCTTCTCCAGAGGGCTCTCAGAGCAGTGCAGAGGGGAGGTAAGTAGGGAAGTTACAGGTTAAGGATGGGGACTGAAGGAACCCATGAAGCTGAGAAATGGTATTCCAGCTTTTGGGGGGATTGGAACTAGATCAAGGAACCCAGGCTACTGGTTGGAGTCAACTAGGTTGGCACCAGCCATGTAGAGAGTCACACAGAGCAACCTATGGGGTTAGCTAGTCTAGGGATGACACAGGGTGAAGAAAACACAAGAGACATGAAGTCCCTGAGAGAAGCAGGCTCCCAGGCCAAGGCCAAAAGTGAAGGTGAATATCGGCTTGCAAAATGTTGGAGCTGTAGGGATGCACACAATCCAAATCCCTTGATGCCCAGAGAGGATGAGAGAGAGGGTCACCTAAGATTACACAGCCGCTTAGCAGCATGGTTGATATGGAGGAAAAAGAATCCATAGGGGGATAACCTCAGGTGAGCTCAGGTCACCTACCTGATGCAAGGTCCTGTGGCTAAAAAGGCTCAGAAGCAATCCATGTCTTTAAAGAGCTTACAGTCTAGCCAGGGAATGAGAAAAATCACACAGTGCTGTGTAAAGGTGATACTGATATAGGTCCAGAGCAGTCACTTCTGGGAAGTAGTCATCAAGGAAGACTTCCTGGACTTGAACTTAACCTGTAGGCCTCTGACTATTTGCTATTAATTGTAGGACTCCTGAGTTCTCAACTATCATCCCCCACCTAGTGGTGACCGAAGACACAGATGAAGACATTCCCTCAGCACCAGATGACAGCTCAGACTCTGGCTACGGAACTTTGATTCCAGGCTCCCCCAAGGAGTCTCACTCCCCGCTGAGCCGTCTACGCCAGAGGGCCTTTCGGCGGGACCCACGCCTCACCTTCTCCACCCTGGACCTCCGAGAAGTTCCCTTACGCCCCCAGCCCCCTGACCCCCATGCTCCCCAGCGCCGAAGTGCCCCTGAACTGCCAGGGGAAGATATCCAAAGAGGAAGCAGCCTTCCCAGGGGAGACCCTCCCACGTGGTCTGAAGAAGATGGGACCTCAGGGGGAAGGAACGTGGTGATGGAAACCCTCCACAGGGCCCAACTTCGGGGGCAGCTCCCCTCCTCCCCAACCCATGTCGACTCTGCCGGGGAAAGCCCCTGGGACTCCTCAGGGGATGAAGAAGTGGGGTCACTCTTCCTGGAACACAGCCAGACCCCCTCCCCACACCCTCTCCGGGCTGAGGACATGCTCCGAGAGATCCGAGAGGAACTGGCCACCCAGAGGATAGAAGGCTTCCAAGAGCCAAAAGGCAGCAGGCCTCGGAAGCTAACATGGATGCAACTGCAGAGGATGCGAGAGCACCACATCATACAGCTGGACACCCCCCTGTCCACTTCGTAAGTGCAGAAGGAAAGCTGGCATGGAGGGCGCAGAGGCCAGAATAGGGGCTGTGGGAGCGGAGGGTCCTCAGGCCCACTTTTCACCCTGGGTCTTACCCTCACCCTCTCACTGCCACTGACTTACCTAACAGTTACTTCCTTTCTTTTCAGAGAGGTGTGAGGGACACCAAGACCTTTGGCATTTCTCCCAGATAAAACCTCATCCCAAGAGTGCTGGTCACCACCCCACCTCTGGACTCTACCTCAAGAACCACACTTTCTGCTAAGAAGCCTGTCCCAGGCACCCTGCCCTCCCTACTCTGTGGGCTTTGGGAATCAAGAACTGTAAATTTATGAATCAGACATAATTGAACCCCATATAAAGTTGTACATCAAAATGACTGCCCAGAGGTAAATGAGAGTGGGAAGGAAAACCTGAGGGGTGGGACCAGGTATCAAAAGTGAACAATGTCTGCTCCTCTGACAGAGGATACAAGGTGGTGGACTCTGGCCCTGTCACTGAGGCCCGTGTCAAGTCAATTCTGACTCATAGCAACCCTACAGGACAGAGTAGAACTGCCTACTTCTTGGGGTTTCTTAGGCAATAATCTTTATGGGAGCAGATCACCATGTCTTTTCCCCACAGAGCCACTGATGGTCTGGAACCACCAACCTTTGAGTTATCAGCTGAGGGCTTAACCACTGAGCCACCAAGGTTGCTTTCTCTGGCCCTAGCTCAGGGCTGTTCCTACCCCCCTGACTTGGATCTAGGTCTCTGCCCCAGGCTCCCACACCAACCATACAGACAGACCACTCCCTCCAGAAGCAGTTTTAATTCAGCATTTTTATGTATTTACAGAAGTCTATTACTCCTGCTGGAAGCCCCCTTGTTCTGCACTTAACCTGCCTTGGGGACAGTTCAGCTTACTCTGTGTTTGTCCTGGCAGGTGTTAAGGGGTGCCAAGTTTTGCTTAGTAATATAACTGATATAAAATTGCTTACGTACTGTGAAAAGCACTCAGGGGCCAACCAAAGGCCTCTAAGCCACCATGCCCTCATTCCTGCAACCACCCACTTGGCTCACCACACACTCTCACCCTCACGATCACACACACGCACCAAACCTCTCAAACACACGGCTGAAAAAAGTATATACAAGGAGGGGGTAGCACCAGGTAAGTGGCTGACAGCTCATGGCTGCCCCTCCATCACCCTTCCTCTCCAGAAAAAAAGGGGGTTAAGAGGGGATTTCACAGGACAGTCTTTCCTGGGGTGCCCTGTGGCAGGAAGCAGCTGTCCCAAAGGCAGGCCCCACCTAGGAGGCGGTGGATGTGGTTTCATCGGGGGAGGAGAGGCGCAGGTGTGAGGGGGGCAAAGCCACGCAGCACCTCCTCAATGTCCTCCAGACAGCCAAGCAGGTCCATGTCACAAAGCACACGGCCCAGCAGCTCCAGGGTAGCTTCTCGTCGTGGTGTCCGCTGTCGCCAGGCCGCCAGCATACTGTAGTGTGCTTCACGCAGGCACCGCCCGTTCTGCAGCTCCAGCCGCTCGATCTCATGCTCACTCAGCCCCAGGCGCCGCACGAACTCCTTCCACCGTGACGGGGGCACACCGTCCACCACAGCATACAGAGTCGCCGGGTCGGCTGTGGTGGAAGCAGAGCCGTGAGCCTCCAGCCAGCTAGAAACTCTGGTGCACACTCCCTCCCGGAACACGTGTCCTCTAGCACCTCTGCCTGCACCCCTAGCTGGGATCCCCACTAGGAACTCACCATCTGGGAACAGCGCAAGCGAGCTGTCCTCCCTGTTCTGAGGGGGGGTGGAGATCGGGGTAGAAGCAGGGGCCCCAGTGAGGATGGGGCCAGCCTCCTGGTAGGGTGGGGCCATCTCTCTGGGAGGTGATGTTTTCATGTAGTTGGTCCAGGCACTGGGGGAGAAGTTGGAGCTGAGGGTGGGACTGAAGACCTGGGTGGGACTTAAGCTCTGGGTGGGTATGAAGGTCGAAGTGGAAGAAGGGCTGAAGCCTGGGGTTAGAGGCTTCGTAATTACTCCTTCAAACTCCCCCTGAAAGAGAGAAAACACAGCATTAGTGGAGCGAGGAAGCACAACCTGGCCCTCTTTGGGCGCACGGTGGGGCTACAAGGAATTAGGGGAGCACCAGGTTCGTAACAGGTGATTCAGGTATCTCAGGGACGTCCCAGATTTCATCTCACCTCTTTTACAGGTGTCCGTTTGCCACAAACTGAGAAAAAAAATAAAAGAAAGAAAATGTCACAGATTTAACTTCCCCTCACATCTCATCCCCCGCACCCCCCACACACACACACACTTCTAATCTCTACTGGGGAGGGCTGTGGAGACCAGTGGTGACATGATTCTGGGGCTGTGAGAACTACCTATACCAAATGACTTCTCACCAGCCATCCAGGACCACCTCCTGCCAGGAGCCTTGGGTGGCAAACCTCTCATTTCCCTCCATCCTTGTCCATCTACCTACGAAAGCCCCTCCCATATCACCACCAGCACCCTTTTCCCTCCCAAAAGCCCCACTCACTAATGGAGTAGAGCTTGGGCGTCCACCGTTGGTAACGACACATTATACCAATGAAGAGGGATAAAAGGCAAAGGCCAAAGAGGATCACCAGGGGCAACAGCACTGTGGTGCCTGGAGTAAAGTAGATCATTGTCAGAGAGGGGACAGAGGAAGGCAGCCAGGATGGGTGGGTGTGGGGAGGGTCACAGATTAGGGACAAGGCAGGTGAGCTCAGGCTACTTCTCACCTGTATCCTGAGGCCTCATAACAGATTCAGTTGGGGGCAGGCACAGTTTCTTACACTCCTGGTCATTCTTACAGCTAAAAGAGAAGATGACAATAGTGAGTAGGGTCCTACCACAGGAGGAACACAGGGGAAAAGCCACATATTATTGGCATCTCTTTGCTTTACAAATACCTTAGTTATCTCTTGATATAATGGAATATAATTATATCGATGCAGAAGGATGAAACATAGTTAATCACAGAATCATTATATTCTAGAATTGGAAGGGATCTTGAAAAGACCGTGTAGAAAAAGAGTCAAAAGCAATTAGGTCAGATATACATTCCAGCTCATTCACTGACTAGCAGTGTGGACTCTAGGCAAGTCATTTAACATCTAAGCCTCAGTTTTCCCATCAATAAAAAGGGATCCCACCCACTCCTCAGGATTGAGGCATAAACAAATAAGTAGTCCCAACAGAGAGGACCAGAAGCTAACTGCTGTCAAGTGGTTTCCAACTCACGGCAACCCCATGTGGTCAGAGCAGAACTGTGCTCCACTGGGTTTGCAGGGGCTGGTTGTCCAGTAGACAGCTAGGTGTTTCTTCTGAGGTGCCCCTTGGGGAACTTGAACCTCCAACCTCTCGGTTAGCAGCTGAGCATGTTAACCATTTACCCCACCCAAGGACTCTGACAGAGTACCATAAAAACAAAAACCCAAGGCCATTGCCATTGATTCAATTCTGACTCATAGTGACACAGAGTAAGTGCCCTATAAATAGTAGCTGTTATTGTATTGCTATTTTATCATGGTTTTATACCAAAGGAATCCTGTGACAGAAAGGTTAAAGGGCTTTTTCTCAAGATAACACTACTAAGTACAATACCTAACTTTAGGAGCAGGGGTCAAATGTGTATGTGACAATTTTAAGAACACATGAGGCTAATGGCAGCCAGAGAACTAGAACAAGCACATCTTCCTGTGTGTGTTGGGAGCTGTTACTGAGTAGCATGGGGTGAAAGACCTTGAAAAGGTCAGTCCCTTCCCCTGCAGAAATCTCCAACCAAGAAGAAGCATTTCACACCCACCTCACACGGTCATGGTGAGAACCACTGGGAATGGACACGAAAGGTTTTTCAAGGAGACGAGACAAAACTTGGTGGGAAGAATTGGAAAATAAATAATTTTGTGTCAGCACTTGACAGGTATTTTTTGTGGTTCTCACAGCTTCGCAAAGCAGGTGTCATTATCCTTACTTTAAAGGTAAGAAAACTAAGGCTCAGAGACATCAAGTAATTTACTCAAGGTCATATAGTCAATAAATGGCTAAGCTAGGGTTTGAACCCAAGTTATTTAACTCCAAAGGCCTCAGAATTCTTTTGTGTCCCACATGGGAAGGTCCTTTCAAAAGGCACATATAATAGGGCAGAGGGCAAGGGAAGGCAGTAAGGAGATCATTTACATAGGCACAAGGCAGGCGCAGGATCACCCCTTGGAAAGGTCTTTTTTAAACAGCAGCCAGAGGTGCTCTAAAGACAGCATCCTTATCAACAAGACCATCCCTACAAAATGGGACTTGTGGGGGTAGTTTGTGTAAAGGAATAAAGTGAAATGGAATAAATTGGCTCTTGCTATGTTTCTGTGTAACTCATGAATGGTTTGGCTATATTTAGCCTAGCTGTGTATCACACGTCAAGCTGCTTTTAATGGGAGGCTGCTGACAGTGAAGATTAAGGGAACTCAGAGAAGCTGAAGTTCATTTCTGTAAAAGCAGCTCAATGGCCACCCAAGGGGACAGCAGCCTCTACTGGCAAAGCACTGGATTTGAAATGAGTGAAAAGACCTGGGTATGGGTCTAGGATCTTGCATGATCTTGATCTTCTCTCTTAACCTCTCTGAGACTCAAGTGTCTGCATACGTTAAATAAAGCTAAAAATGAGACCTGCCTTACCTCTGTCTGTCACAGGTTTGTTGAGGCTCAGATATGAGAATGTACATAAAAGCATGTTGTGAACTGTAAAGGATTATGCATTTTGTAGAGCATTCCTACTCTACAAAGTGAGAGTGCTAGGTGTTGGTTAGTGAGCCCTGGTGGTACAATCACTAAGCACTCGCCTGCTAACTGAAAGGTTGAAAATTCAAACTCATCCAGTGCCTCCAAAGGAGAAAGACCTGAGCTGCTTCCATAAAGATTATAGCCTAGAAAATGCTATGAGGCAGTTCTACTCTGTCACATGGGGTCTCTATGAATCAAAAGTCAACAGCACTCAACAACAAAGTGTTGGTTACAGTTCTAAATGGGGTCAAGGATAGGTGTGCTAAGGTTCATCAAGCTGTCATAGCGTGCAAGTCCCCAAACACAGTCTGAACACTTGGACCCAATGAGTATGTAGGAGCAGCATCTGGGGCCAAAGAAGGGAGTGAGATGGTCCAGTCAAAGAGACTGTATTGCATTGAACCTAAGATGCCATCAGTAGCAAGAGCCACCACTACGTATGCACCACACACATAGCATAAATCTGCCGATTAAACCACGACGCATCACCAACTGGAAGATGCATCCTGATGTCAGAGACAGGAACTTCACCACCAGACATCGTAAGATTTAAGGGACAAGTTGAGCAAGAAGGACTGACTGCCTGGTGTTTTTACAAAAAGTATCTCCCACTCAGCCAGCCAGCAGGAGCCAGAACACCCTGGGGTGTCTCCCTCACCCTGCTAGTGGCTCTCCCTCTCAGCCATCTCACCCTACCCCATGCTCCTCACCTCCCGCCCAGCACCCAGCAGGGATACTCACTTGGTACAGGTGACACATTCACTTCCCCTTGGAAAGAATCCTGCGTGGCAGGTGCACATGGTGTCCTGCTTCTCCTGGCCTATGGGGAAAAGTAAAGCAGAGCTAAAGGAATGCAGCCCTGCACCCTGAGGGCAGGAAAAAGAGCAAGGAAGGGCAGAGGATGGAGGGCCAAAGTGGAAGGTACTCAAGACTCAGGAACTGTGGGAGAGAGAAGGACAGAAAGTGCCTCCTCATGGGGGAGAGGGTGCAGAAGGGTGGAGACCTTCCTCCTGAGGAACTAGCCCAACCCCTGGGGTGGGGAGGAGGCTTGGGGATGGGAAAGTCATGCTCACAGGGGAGTTTCACCATGCCGTTGAGGCAGAGGCTGCAGTTCAAGCACTGGAAAAGGGAAGTACTCCAATAATGCCGATACTGGTTCTTCCTGCAGCCGCACACAGTGTCCTGGTACACTGTGCAAGGAGAAAGCTCTACCTGGTCCAATTCTGGGGAGGGGAAGATAGTGTTAGTTCTATGTCCCCCTGTCCACATCAATTCCACTTCTTTCCCCACACCCCTTCCTGACCCTGCAGTGTCACTCTAACTCATACTCATACTCACGCATACTCACATACGTACACACATTCTCGTTTGCACACCCCCACACATAGACATGTGCACTCATACTCTTTTTAGAGCCCTTGCCCTCTCCTAAGACGCACCCTTCCGGCATGTGGAGCAGCTGAAGCACTGTGCGACGTGGTTCTCTGAAGCAGTGAAGGTGCCATTTTCACACTCCCTGCAGTCTGTGTCCACCCCTGGACTTGGGCAGTCATTGTACCGGTAGGTCCCTGGGATTGGGGATCAGGGTCAGGCTGCAGCTGAGCGCTCTGGGAGGGAGCCCCATGCTAGGGAGCACAGCCAAGGCCACCTCCCTTAAGTCTCTAGGACACGAAAGGAGGGAAAAAATGCCAGCCCAGGTAAGGGAGCAAAATTAGGAGACTTGCAGGGAGAGACCCTGGGTTTTAAAGGATCTGGAAAAAGCAAAGGAAGCGGGGCCCCACAACTGAGGGGATTCATGGTTACCACCTTCTCCTACCTTTGTGGCACTTGGTACAGCAAATGGAACTATTTCGAGGGTGGTTGTATTTCCCCTGGGGACACAGATTATCTCTCTTCTCTCGGTCCCCAAGGTGGGGAACCAATCCAACAACCCCTGAGGGATATATTCCCACCAACAGAGCAAGGAGCACCTGGGGAAAAAATCAAATTGTCCATCAGGAAAGACAGGGGTGGGAGTCTTAGAGTGGTAAGTCAAAAACCTCCCAGCTCATGACCTCCCTGTCAATGGAATACTCCCCCAGGCCATACCCACTGACACCAAATGTTCTTCCTCTAAACCTAGACAGCTGACACACCATACAATCTAGTGTCAATTATTCTCTAGTTGTCCTGGGTGCTAATTTTTCCTTATAATTTATTTTTGGTTGCTGTTGTCAATAATATGCACAGCAGAACACACCAACATTTTCTACATGTACAACCCAGGGACCCTGACTACGGTCTTCAAGTTGTGCAACCATTCTCACCCCCTTTTTCCAAACTGTTCCTCCCCCATCAACATAAACTCACTGCCCCCTAAGATTCCTATCTGATCTCCTAAGTTGCTGTTGTCAGTTTGATCCCATATAGAATGAGCACAGTGCTCAAGGTAGGCATTCTTTACATGTTAAGCTAAACTGTTGTCAGGCTTAAGATCTCAGGAGATATTTTTGGTTTAAGATTTAAAGATGACTTTAAAGGGAAAAGCAATGAAACAAAGTAAGTGGCTAGCACAGTATCACTAAGGAAAAGGAAGACACAGAGAGGTGCGCAAGAGGTACAAACAATAAAGGTAAACACTATTGTATACATAATACTGCATTAACAGTAATAGCAAACACTAATCTATGGGAGGATACATAAGTAGACAAGCAAAAAGATCAGGTATGGATAAGCAAATGGGAATATACTCATGACCAAATATAGGTTTGGCAGACAATATTCCTACCTATTATTTGGATATGCTATCAAAATGTCCATATGCAGTTTAAAGCTAATGGGGCAAAATTAGGGTAACTTCTTAGCCACAACTAAGCACCTTGAGGAGGTGAGTTGCTGGGCCTGTGGGCTGGAGACCATGGTCACAGGGGACATCAAGCTCAAGTGGCACAACACAGTACACAAAATTATTGTTCTACATTTTACTTCAGTGAGTAGTAACTGGGGTCTTAAAAGCTTACCAGTGGCCATCTAACATGCAACTACTGGTCTCAACTTAGCCAGAGCAAAGAAGAGTGAAGAAAATCAAAGACACATGGAAACAATCCAAAGGACTAATGGACCATGAGAACTTCAGCCTATGTGACCATGAGACCTTCAGCCTATATGACCATGAGACCAAAAGTAGTTGGTGCCTGGCTACCAATGCCAACCACTAGGAAAGGGATCAAAATTGGAGATCCTGGATAGAGTGGAAGAAAAATGTGGAACAAAACTCAAAATCATAAAAAAGACAGGCTTACTGGTCTGATAAAGACTGTTGAAACCCCTGAGACTATGGCCCCGAGTCACTCTTCAGGCCTGGAATTGAACTCTAGCGGCTTAACTTTCAGCCAAACAACAGACAGGTCTAGGAGCTGAACACCTACACCAGGGAGATGAGAAGGGCAGCATCTGCACAGGGAAAAAAGGCAGGGAGACAGGAATGCATTGGCAAGAAGGACACAGGGAAAGGGTAATCACAGGAAGGAAGTGGGAGGAAAGCTGTTACACTGTGGGGAATATAACCAGTGTCACAAAACAAAACACGTAGGAACTGTTGAATGTAAAATGAATCTGCTTTGTAAAATTTCACCCAAATCACCATAAAAATTAAAAAAAAAAAAAAAAAAAATTCAAGATGACCACAGGCCAGTTTCAGGGTTTATCCAGCCTCCATGACTCCAGAAACTCTGGATTCCATGTAAATTTGAAATTCTGTTCTGCATATCCCCCCTTTTGATCAGGATTCTTCTATAAACTCTTTGAGCAAAACATTGAGTAATGGTGGCCAGGGACCATCCAGTTCTGATCTCATGGCAAAAGAGGCAGCTGTTCATGGAGACAATTAGCCATATATTCCGTATCTTCCTCCTACTCCTCATTCTCCTTCTTCCTCTGTGGCTCTAGGTATACATAGACCAACTGTTGTCTGGGTGCTAATTTTTGTTCCTCCAACACAAGACTAGTAGTCTCCAGACCTGGACTGTTGTTGTTGTTGTTGTTATGTGCCGTCGAGTCAGCCCCGACTCACAGCGACCCCTCCTTGGGTTTCCGAGGCAGTATCACTACGGAAGTAGGATTGCCCAACCTTCCTTCCGAGGAGCGGCTGGTGGGTTTGAACCGCCAGCCTTCTGGTTAGCAGTCAAGTGCTTTAGCCACTATGCTACCAGAGCTCCTTTTCTTAGGTCCCCCACAGCAGCTACCAGTGCTGATACAGAGCAGAGCCTCAAGAAAGAAAAATATATTTTTGGATTATGAACTGGCAGGTTGCCTTGTTGGTCTTTTCTTCCAACAAGCAGCTCCTAAAGATTAGGGGGATGCTTCCCCACCTGGGTGCTGTTCACTTTGTGAACAGTGTGTTCACTTTGTGAAGATTCACCAAGGTGAATAATTAGGATCTATGTGCCTGTCTGTAGTGTATTTTATCAGTCAAAAGTTTTTTTAAAAATTACATTAAGGTGAAGGTGAGTGATGTTCCTGTGGGCACCAATCTTGATGACTAGCAGAAACAAAAGGAGTTTCTTTATAAATTTTGTACCAAAACTTTACACAGGATCCTGCCCTCACACTCCATTTTCTATCCCCTTCCACCATTAAATTTACACAAATGCCCCAAGTTGTCAAAGACACATAGGGAAGGGAGTAAAAGGAAAGTTCAGGGGTCAGGAATGAAGTAGGTGGATATTACGGATGGAATCATGTCCCCTAAATTATTTACAGGAATCCTAAGCCCTAGAACTGTGGATGTAATCTATCTAATGCAATGTACTCGCCCTCCATAATGCAATCTAATGTAATCAATTGGTCGACGTCATGCCAGTGTAGGGTGGACCCTAAACTTAATCACTTCTGAGTTACATAAATAATAGCACAGACATGCACACGTAATTCAAATTCACTGGGTGAGTATGAATTGCTATCTGACAGCAAAAGAGGCAGGTGAATCTACAAACCTAGAATAATCCAAGGATTGCTGGCTATGGAAACTGAAATAGAAAAAGAAGGACCTCCCACTAGAGTTACACTTTGAATTTGGACTTCTAGCCTCCTGAAGTCCATGCCATGGGCTGTCATAAGAATAAACAAATCAAGCTTGGAGAAAGTACAGAAATTCTGTTCTGCATTTCCCCCCTTTTGATCAGGATTCTTCTATAAACTCGTTGAGCAAAATATTGAGTAATGGTAGCCAGGCGCCATTACCTTAGAAATAAGAATGGTGAGAAATGTAGAATGTGCCTTTCTCCCCTTTTGATCATAATTTTTCTACAGACTCTTAGATCAAAATGTTCAGTAATGGCAGCCAGTTCTGGTCTAAGGGCAAAGGAGGCAACCACTCATGGAGGCAATTAGCCACACATTTCACATCGTCCTCCTATTGCTTACTTTTGGCATGTTATCAGGAAAGACCAATCTCTAGAAAAGGACACCATTCTTGATAAAGCAGAGGGTCACTGAAAATGAGGGAAATTCTTCATAAGATGGATGACACAGTAACTGCAACAATTGGCTCAAACATACTCACAGTTATAAAGATAGCACAGGACTAGGCAATGTTTTGTTCTGTTATAATTAATGCGCAGGCCATGAGTCAGAATCAACTCAATGGCAACTAACAACAATCACTACCAACTATGGCCTCCTGAACTGTAAGAAAATAAATTTCTGTTCTTCAAAGCCACCCCCTTGTGGTATTTCTGTTACAGCAGCACTAGGTAACTAAGACAGTGGGTCACAAAGCTGAGGTGGGGACAGGAGTGGGCAAAGGCACATGCAACTAGAGCTGAGCGTGTCCTGGTGAGGGCTGCAGCCCTTTGCATACCACGGCATTCTAGAAGGCAAGTTTTACAACCTCAGGCCAAGCACACAGCAGCTGAATCACTTGCCCTGTTCTGGCTTCAATACCGGGAAAACAAAGCCAGGAGTCAGTGTTTAGACACAACTCAGACTTTGCTCTTCGATCTCTGACCAGCTTCTGACTCCACCCCCCCACTTGATTTTTTTTTTCCCCTGCTGTTAAGAGCCACCTTATGTAAAGAAAAAAGTAGCTCTGTTGGCACATGCCTATGGCATTTGACTGCTAAAAAGAAGGGTGGCAGTTCAAGCCCACCAGCCACTCAGTGGAAGGAAGATGAGGCAATCTACTTCCGTAAAGATTTGCTGTCTTGGAAACCCAATGGGGGTCGCTATGGGTCGGAATCGACTCAGGGGCAGTGGGTTTGGTTTTGGGTTTTATGTAAAGATAAGAGGATGTTCTTGAAATATGTTAAACATTGGGGAGCAAGAGACTAATGAGATCACAGAAACCTCAGCCTGGGAAAGGATGGTAGGGCTGGCCCAGCTACAGCCCTGCAGCGCGCAAGCAGCCTCCCATTCTGGAGCAGGTCGCACCCTGAGTCACCCACTGGGAGACACTGCAGCTGTGCACACCCCCGGAAGCCAGAGCCTCAGCCACAAACAAGGGAAGCCACACTCAGAAACCTGGCAAGGGCGTGCTCCCCGACGCAGAGGGTAGTAGCCTTCCCCAGCCAGCCCCCTCACTGTGCCATCTCCCCCGACTACAGGACTGGGGCTGCCAGAGCAACAGGAAGAGTTTGGGGTGGTCATAGGAAGAACTTCCCAATCCTGAAAGTTCCTTTCCCAGAAGACAAGAGCTCTCAGCACTTAGGGTCATTGGCACCTTGACTCCCATCAGGGGGCCTGAAGCAAAGCCAAATAGCACAGGCTCAGGAAGATGATCCAGGAGGCTCCAGTCTCCACACAGCCTTGGAGGAGCTCTCCAGGGATCTCTGGCCTGTGGCGAATAGGCCTCCAGGAAGGGGAGACAGGGAGCCCAGCTTTCTCAGGCCAAGTGTACCCCTTCTTCTCTAGTACTTGAAGGGTTAAATCAAATCCGAGAAAGGGAAATCTTTTCCCAGCAGCCCTGCCCCAGTGACTCAGGCCAGAAGGAGGG